GCTTCCCATTTATCAAGCCGAGCAGCCCCACCTGGCTTTTACTGACTGAACCAATTCCTCGGCGGGGAGCACCAGCCCCGCTTAGGACAGAGGTGGGTTGGCTGCAAGTTAAGAATACACTGAAAGGCTTTATGGTGTTTTTTCCCAATGGCTCTTCTCCTTGGAACCGTGCTTCCGTCTTTTCTGGTCTTACATGTTAGACGCTTGGCAGGAGAACCTCTCTCAGGCATGGTGCAGGCTTGTAGCTCCCGGCTCCGTATCTGGGCAAGAACCCCAGCTCTGTGAATGCAGGGAGATTCGCTCAGCCTGGGGCGATCAGTCAGCTTCTTCCTGATGTGAGGGAATAATAATCTTCCCTGCCTAGCACAGGGTCATCGAATCCAGGAACATGGCTGTACTTTGATGTGTTTGAAAGGCAGAATTTGAGTTTCACTTTGAAGTGTTCCTTCTGTCTTTGTCAGAGCACAGGATGCCTGAAGGGCAGGGAGAGAGAAGTTCATTTTTAAAAGAAAACAAAAACTTTTAAGTCTCCAGCACTCCCAGACCAAAAAGATAAGGATAATAACAGGATTTGGGCAGTTTTTCCCCTTTTATGAAGTTCCACGCTGATTGAGATGGTCGGCCTGCATTAGGGTCCTAACAATATTAAGCAAAATGTTTGAGCTTGTGCCTCTTTCCTAGTAGAGAAATATGCTTGATCCAGAGATCTGGGCCTTGGCCTTGGCTGCTTCCCTAACCTGCTACTCCACAGCTTTATGGAACCCGAAGGCAGCTTGGCAAGGTCTTAGTGAGTGACAGTGGTCACACCAGCTAGAGATGCCTCTTCTTGGAAGGCGAGGCAGCCCTACCCGCAGTGCCAAGGAGCAGGGGCACAGATCTGCTCTGTTCTTCCAAGCGGCCATTATGCCGTGACCTCAGATGGTGCCGCTCAGCTGGGCCTGGACTTACTGACAGATAATTCGGCTCTAATTTTTCCTGTGACATTCAGTCCTCTGTCATAAGAGAACATGTGACAGACTTTTGCTTAATCACCTATGGTAGTTATTTTTATCAAAATCTCCTTTTCTTTCCTGTTAATCTGATTTAAAAAAAAAAAAAAACCCTATTAAAAGCGAGAAGAGCTTCCAGAAGGTGATAATAATTATTTATAAGCCTCTACCTATGTGTAATACATAGATTCACGTTTTGATGTGTCTCCTCCCATTTTTACCACTGCTCTGCTTAAACATAATTAGTGTCATCTTGTACATCCATACACATACACATACACATTTTTACAATCGCCTAAATGGATTCTTTACTTTGTGATTCTTAAACTACTTTATAATATGTGAGTCTTCAAAACTGCTTTCACCTTTGAATAGCCCCTCAAATCCATGGGCAGAGAACGTATTCCTGCCTCACTGTGTGGCTAAGGGAACGGCATCTCAGTGAAGTGCAGTGTACTGAACAAATACTTGATGCCCCTGTCTGTATTTCCAGCACAGTGCTGTCCAGCAGGCTGGCCAAGGACATCTCAGTAAATGCTGAGAATCACTTGAACATAGGTCTGCTGTCCCTTTGACACCCTAGTTGAACCCTTTCACATTCTTACGTCTGTCCCCAAATCTAGACTGGTTATTGGAGTTGATCTTGGAGAGGAGAAAGTGGTGTCCAAGGTGAGATTGGCACCCAGAGATGTCAATGAGTGGACAGCCCCAGAGCCAGAGACCTGGCCATCATACAGGCCAAGGACGCAGGTCCCACAGCTGCTCTGAGACCGAAGCCCACGGGAGGCAGGTCTGGAGATCACTGCAGTGACAGCTTTGTGTAGATCACAGGATCTGAGCTTACTGTTTTGGTAGTCTTGAGGAATGTGTTGCACACTAGTACAGATGACACACTAGTATCAGCGGTGGGTGACATCAGGCCTAGAGCATCTGCATGTGACACACAGTTGTGTCTTAACAAGGGAAAGTGGGTCTGTGGTATTGGGACATTTTCCATAAACCTCTACAACGTTCTGTAAATCTAAATCTATTCTATTATATATCCTAATTTTTCCCTTAATTAAGATATATAATAGAATAGATTTAGATTTACAGAACGTTGTAGAGGCTTAAATAAAAAAAAAAATCTAAATCTATTCTAAAGTGAAAGCTTATCACTGTTTTTAATGAATAAGAGTTTACCAGACCCAGAAAGAGCCTCCTAGCGGGAGGCGTTGGATGCACAGGCCAGGAGCGGACACAGCATGTGTGGAAAGGGTAAGGGAGCGTGGGGATGGCACATGCCGGGGCTGAGGCAGGGCGGGCAGCCTCAGGAGCTCGTCTTTCAGGTCAGGCTCACGTGCCTTAGGACTTACACTGCGGGAAATGAGACCCTACCAAGCCACTGTGATGAACTCACATCACAGTTGAGTTTATTTACTGTAAAGATAACGGCAATGGAGGACATGCGGAATAAGGGAGAGGTTGGGGCTGATGAGCAGATGAGGAGACCGTCACAGTGATGAACAGATGAGGAGACCGTCACAGTGATGAACAGATGAGAGAACCATCATCGTGATAGGCAGACAAGAGACCTTACAGCAATGAACGGATGAGGAGACCTTTACAGTGATGAGCAGTTATGAGACCATTACAGTGATGAGCTGATGGGGAGACCGTTACAGTGATCTGAGCAAACTCCGCAGTGATTGGAAGCAGAGACCAGTGTGGAGAGGCATTGGGAGGCTCAGAGCTGAGCTTAAACTCTAGCTGCACAGGGCTTCATCCCCACTGCTGCCTCCTGCCTCTGTCCCCGTGCTTCTGCCTGATTACTGTCCCAGGAAAAATGATTGATTGAGCCTGAATTGATTGAGACCAAGCAGCACTCAAAAGCAGGTGCTCATCCAAGCCAAGCAGCAGAGAATCAAGATGCCTTTGGCTGAGAGGCTTGGCGTCAAGTCTAGGAACCCAGGTTCCAGTCGACGGTAGGATCTCCGGTGTCTAGGACTGACACATCATCAGCAGGGCCAGATTGCCTCGATCTGAACTCTGAGTCATCAAGCTGATGGAGGGGACAGTATAACTTCACCCACAGCCAGGAGGGCCACAGGCCACACCAGAGGGTTCAGGGGCTCCACGGCCTGGGCTAAGCAGTCAGGGGATGCAGTTGCAGGCAGCTCAAATGCACCCCTTTATCTGCAATGGAGCGTCTCCAGGATGCAGGAAATCAAACTCTTGACACTGTTTACTGAGCTTGTACTGTTCTTATGACCAACATTTTAATCCAGCGGCAATCAATTCTGAGTTCTAGTGCTATTTCTTGAACCTCAGTGGAGAAATATTTCCTTTGCACTGTCCCAGTTTCCAGAGTGTAGCACCATTAATATCTCTGATGCCTTTGATTAGAATTCTGGGCGGAACTTAACTTGCGCTTTGCTGCAGTGCCCACCGCATTAATTAGTGGTGCTTCTGGGGCTCTTCAGAGTATGTGGTCAGGCTGTTATTTTTTTTTTTACCACTGCCAAGCATCCTTTTGTATAGGATGGAGGTGGTCTTAGTGAATATCATGTCCAAGGTCGCAACAGAAATTTCAGGTTTCTTTGCACTTCTAGAGCTCCATATCTCATTCTGATGGATTTGCTTTAGGGTTCAGAACTGTTGCGTGTCCCAAGTGGAATGGTGGCTGATTACGGCTCAGTGTGCAGATCCTGCTGCAGGTGTCCATTGATGCAGAATGCTGGGAAAGTAGATGCATCCTTCATTGGGCTGCTGGTGGCTCCCTGGGGACCCCAGTGCCACATCTCCATGAAGGGTGCATCCTCCACTCAAGCAGGGCCCCTGAGGGTCTCCCATGATGAAAAGTAGGTGCCTCTGAAGGCGATCTGATCTCTGGAGCCCTTGCTGCACAGGTGTAAATCGTCAACAGTAGCAGAAGCCGCTTCACCCGGAGCTTGTTAGACAGACATAATCTCAGGCTGCAGAATCCCAGAGTGCGTGCAAATTCCCGAGGTGATTTGTGTGCACATCGCCATTGGAGGATTACTGCTTTAATCTACAGCAGTGGCTCAACCCTGGCTGTGTGTAAGGATTGCCCAGAACTAAAATGTCCGTATCTAGCCCACTATGGGCCAATTAAACCACAATCTCCGGAGGCAGAGCCCAGCTTTCAATATGTCTGAGAAGGCCCTCAAGAGAACCTATTATGCAGCCATGCTAGAAGCAGTCCAGGGACTTAAGAGATCAAGATCTCCTGGAAGCATTAATGCTCCCCATGCCTGGCCCTGAGGTTCTGATTTAGCTGGCTTGAGATCGGCTAGCGTCTGTACTTTTTCTGTCTCCCCAGTTAATAATTGGGAATCATTGGCTGGGAAAAGGCTTGATTATTGTTGTCCAGGTCCTCTGAGAACACAGGGCCTGAAGCAGTCCCAAGAATGCCTTCCTTTTCTGTAGTTTCTGAACCAGCAGAGAGCTTGTTGGGGTGCCAGGCAGAGAGGCATCGGGCTGCTGGGCCTGGCCATGCCCTCAGGAGGGTATGCAGGTCCAGAGCACATGTATTCTGCTGCCAGCTCCTACCTGCATGTTGGGAAAGTTGTGATGTTCACACCGTAGTGAAACCTGGTGTTTCTCCCAAGCCTCCTGCTGCTTATAGTGGTGTCAGTGACTGATCTTAAGGATCCTATGGTGATTTGGGAAAGTCAAAAGAGGAGAGAAAAAAGGGGAGACTTTGTGGGAGACCAGCGGCGCAGCCTCCTTGGGTGGACAGAATAGAATTGCATGTAACTTTCGGAGACAAGGTTTAGTTTTTAGTTTCATTTTAGCGATGTGCAGGTCCTAGAGATCGGAGTGAGCTGATGGGGAAGTGGAGCTTTCTCTCCGTTTCGTCTCCATTTCTGTGCTCCAGAGATGACCTGGGGCTCTAGGAAGCCTATGGCGCTACTGTCCACCTACCTCCCTGGCGCAGATCCTGGTTCCGGGGGGACTCCTGCTGCGTGCCCCCTTTGCATCCCTCACATTCCCTTTCTTCCTTCACAGCTGGCAACGTGGGATTCGGAGAAGGGTCTGAACGGCAGCTTGCAGGAGAGGCCCATGGGCAGCCGCCTTCAAGGACTGACTCTCAAAGTGGTGACTGTCTTGGTAGGATCATGGGGGACACTCTGGGAGCATGGCTGGCCATGGTTTTCAATCAAGGCTTCTTCCTGTCTGATGTGAAGTGCAGGGAGCAGGGGACCTTGGGGTGTGGTTTGAGCTTTCCCAAGACCTTTCATGGGAATCAGGGTGAATGGTGAAAGAGAGACTAAATTTGGAGATCTCTCCTGGGGCTGCCGAGCCTCCCCTGGAGGTGCCTGAGATGGGGGGGGCGGGGACCAGTCCTGCAGATCTGCTGCTGGGCTCCAAGAACACTTGCTGCCCGGCTGGTGCTCAGACGTGAACTTTACCTTGACCTATTGCTGCTCTTTGAGGGGCTGTACTGGTAGCTGGGTCCCCCAGAAAGATGCCAGGAGGAGGCATCTCTGGACATGGTGATGGCACATACCACACGGTTTGCAGTGAAGACAGCTTGCTAGAGTTTTTCTGCTTAGTTACCCTGGAATCACAAAGGTTTACACTGGTGAGATTTTCTTTTGACTCGTTTTTGTCACCTCTTTAGAAGACCCCCAGAGACATTTCAGGTTTTTCTCCTTTTTGGCTGGGTCAGACATGGTCCAAATGCCATCCCTGTCCCAACAATCACAGGAACCTTTGGCAGCAGCGTGTCTGCTTCCCCTGTTTGTACCCCATGAATAGGCCTGGTATCGTTTTTCCAACAACACTAACCTAGTGAGGTACATCATCTGGGGCTGTTTGCTAGAACCCTTCCTGTGTGATCCCACCAGGAAGCTGGTGAGAATGCAGAGATCTTTTCCAGATGGCCCCTGCCGGATATGATGGGCACTCACCGTGCGGGTGTGATCACAGCCTGCTCCGGCCAGGGCCTGAGGTTTAATCCTCTCTCATCCCTGGATTTATGGCCAGGCTTGGCACTCGATCAGCACCCGTTTTCTAGCACAGCCTGATAGATACGATGCTGTCTGTTCTCGGACTAATCTCACAGAGCTTTATTGTCATGAATGACCCTGGGGGAGACGTGTCCATGTCTTATCTGTAGTCAGCCAGACCGATGGCATTTCCTAAGGACAGAGTCCTGGTCTGCAATGAAGGAATGAAAACACACCACACTGTCCTGAGAGGCGGGCTCTGGGCAGGGCTGGGAGATGACAGACCCAGGACAGTTAAATCGCCGTTGCTGCACGTTGCCCGGGGGTGGGAGCGGGGTCCACAGCTCCACGGTGCATGTGCTGCTTTTACAAAAAGTAGAGGAGTTTGGCCTCAGGGTGGAAGCTGGGTGAATGCCGAATTCTGCTACTGTGGTTGGTGATGGGAATTGAAGCCCGGGTTAAGGTCTTCCTTTGAGCTACACCCAGCCCTGGTATCGGCCTTCTGCCCTTACGGTGTATCAGACGGGTCTCTCCAGCAATGCCCTGGAAGTGCACATTAATGGACCTTTTATTTAACTGAAGAACATTCATTCTCTTGTCCCCAGGAAGAGCCTTTTGTGATGGTGGCTGAGAACATCCTTGGGCAGCCCAAGCGCTACAAAGGCTTCTCCATAGATGTCCTGGATGCACTGGCCAAGGCTCTGGGCTTCAAATACGAGATTTACCAGGCCCCCGATGGCAGGTACGGGCACCAGCTCCATAACACCTCCTGGAACGGGATGATCGGGGAGCTCATCAGCAAGGTAGGTCCCGAGAGCAGGCCAGTGGGGAGGGCACCTACTCGTTTGCTAGGGGAATGCCGAAAACGGGCCTGCTGAGCAGCTGGGCCCTTGGGAGCCAGCTAACAGACCCCGGCTACCTCTCTCCAGTCTTGTGACCCTCCCTTCCCTCCTCTCCGCTGCTCTTCTTGTATCCATCCTGCCTTTTAATCTCCTCAGCCCCTTCCCTCCTCTCATTCCTTTGGAGTCTGTGCACTGTAATGCTGCCTTCCGGAAACACACCCCACCCGCACGGGAATAAGAGTATAGTGCCCCCGCCCCCGGCCCTGGGAACACTTACTTTCTTATTCATCAGACTTTACAGGCGTGCACTTGTGTGTGTAAATGTGTGCATGAATGGGTGTCTGCGTGTGCATACATTGCTCTCTCTCCATGTGTGGCCTTCTCTAGCTTTTCATTCCTTTTCCAGTCATCCCTTCTGCTCCCTCCTGTAAGATGTGCCCTTGCAGAAAGCCATGGCGGGACGCCAAGTCACATATCCCCATCTTGCTCCTGTGGTCTCTGTGATCACTTACCATGGAGGGACAGACTCCCCCTTCCCTCTCCAGTGCTGCTGCAGCCACCGCCTCCTGGACAGTGTCTGGCATTGCTGCAGGCAACCTGACTCCTGGGACTGTCACCCCCTCGGCTCTGGGAACTTTGCTGCTCCAGCCCAGGGATGTCTCCCCTGCACCGTGTCAGTGCTGCACAGCCACCCATTCGGTCCTGTCTTGGGATGACTTGTCCTTCTGTTTTTGATGCTTTATTCCAGAAATGCAGTATCTCTGCTTTCTAAGCCTGTGAGGGCAGATGTGAGGTCTGTAATTCCTCCAAGTTTTCTTACTATGTTTGCAAAACGACTCTATTGTGATAGAATTTAGGTATGATAAAATATGACGTTTAATACACCTACCGATTTGTGCATAGCCATGTAGTCTTAGTTAGAGCTCCTCTGTTACCCTTGGCGAGCTCTCCTAGTTGATTACAGTTAATGCCACCCCCACCCCTCCCAGCCCTTGCTCTCTCTGCAGAGTTGCACTTGTGAACATTTTACACCAGCAAAGGCGTATTATGCACAGGCACTTGTGTCTGGTTCTGACATTAGCATAAGCTTTGGAGCTGCAGCTTCCCCTATGTTCCTGTGCTCTTCGGATGCCGAAGCCTTTCCTCCTTCAGGGTCGCCCATCGCTGACCCCGCAGACCCACCCCTGCCCTTCGTCTCTTGTGATTTCGTGTCTTCTTGATTTCCTGTTTCCCCTAACTCCTGAATCAGTTCTATCGCTTACGCTCTTGACTCAGACACCAGCTTTCTGTGTCCAGTAAGAGAAGAATTTCACAAATCTGCAAAGATTAATGCAGTGGTGTGTGGGGCCACTGGGCTTCAGTGCAGCTCAAGTCCCTGAAAGTGTCCCCTGTCAGGCCCTTGTCTATGCCCCAGAAAGAGTGTCAGTAGTTTACCTTTCCCCTCCAGCTCCCAAATAATCTTCCCTCCTTCTCAGTTAAGAAAATAACTTTTACTCAAATGTTAGGGAAAGAAATTGAGATTTTTAGGCATGAAGTTCTACTTTAAAGACACATCAGTGGGCACCGGCGCCCCATCAGAGGTGTCCCTCTCGTCCACCACAGAGCTCTTCTCCCTGCTCTGTGAGTTGATTTCCCATGCCTTGTCTGAGCCTTGCTTCCTAAATTAGCTCCCCTCCATCCTCCGTTGTCAGCTTACGTTCCTCTGCTCACTCTTTTTCTCAGTCCTTAAATAGGTCTAGACTCTCCTGACCCTGATGGAGATCCCGAGATCTTAGGTGTCTCGGAGAAGAGGCAAAATCTGGATAGGCTCCAACACAGTCTCCGCCAGCGTTTGCTTCTCTAGGCTGCTGTTGGGTTTCTGTTCAGGACCTCGGTGAATCTGCTCCTCTAGCCCTCACGTGAAGTCTTACAAAAGTCGTCCATCTGTATTTCCCCCATTTGGAGCCTGTAGGTTAGGCCAGAGGTCATCATAGGCCATTCTCGAATGTGTCTGATTCTGCCGATCCCTCCGACCTGGAGACCCAAGAGCCCAGAGCAGGATGAGTGGCAGACTCCCCGCCACTTGCTCACGTAGGCACAGGATGCATCACCTCCACACAGCAGAGCAGCTTCATCCTCAGGCTAATTCCATCTTAATGCAGACTTAGTCTCTTTTTAAAATGAAATCTACTTTGGCGTGCCAAAGCCCTGGAAGGTAATTTTTAGGTCACAGTATGACGCGTCCAAAGGGAGCCTTCCTAGGGTGGCTTGACTGTAAGAAAAGTTGGCTCCAGCATGTTCAGGCTCAGATGGCAGGTGGTGGGAGACAGAAATAAGTAGGTGACCCCTCTCTGCTTGGAGGACTTTACCCTCTGGCTCAGTCTGCATACAGAACCATGGGGATGGGTGTGTTACTGAGATCCAGCAGGGTTGCACAGCTCACCCCACCACTCGGGAAGTATTTTAGAGAAGAGAGGATCAGGGTGGGATAACGGGTTTTGGGAAGGCTTGTTGGGGACAGGAAGTCGGCCCATAATCTGGCTGCATGGGGAGGATTCAGATCAGCGTAGGAGAGAGACGGGTCCTCGTGGTGGGAGAGACCCCACGGCAAGAGAGATCGCGAGTGGGAATCAGTGGGAAGCAGTGAGAAATAAAAGATGGACCACAGCTGAGGAAAATGAAGAAGTTTCCTGTGCAGACATTTCCAGGCCTTTGAAGGTCTGGGGGGACACGTTGCAGGGGGAAGGAGGTAGGGGCCATGGCGGTTGCTTGCCTCTGAACAGAGCTACTAGGGGGCCTGAGGGCAGACCTTACGGGAGGCACCCCAGGCGGTGCCCCCTGATGCGCTGCTTTGCCTTCCAGAGGGCAGACGTGGCCATCTCGGCCATCACCATCACCCCCGAGAGGGAGAGCGTCGTGGACTTCAGCAAGCGCTACATGGACTACTCGGTGGGGATTCTCATCAGAAAGCCGGAGGAGAAGATCAGCATCTTCTCCCTCTTCGCCCCCTTTGACTTCGCGGTCTGGGCCTGCATCGCGGCTGCCATCCCCGTGGTGGGCGTGCTCATATTCGTGTTGAACCGAATACAGGCTATGAGGGCTCAGAGCGCCGCCCAGCCTCGGCCGTCCGCCTCTGCCACCCTGCACAGTGCCATCTGGATCGTGTACGGAGCCTTCGTCCAGCAAGGTACCTCCTGCTTTCCTGAGCTCTGATCGGCCCAGGAGACTGGGAGAACTTGTTCGGTTTCTAGTCTTCAGATGCATCTCCCCAAAGTCACTTCCGGTGCAATTCTAGTTTGTCTCTAGTTCAGTGCTAATACTGCGATGCACCCAGTTCCTCTAAGTGGTATCAGACGGGAATTAAATGAAGCAACCACAAGGAACCCATTGAGCAGTTCTGATTCTCCACTTTAGAGAAAATTAACTTTGGAATTATGCTAGCACCTTTCTCCCCTCCCTCGCTAGGCTGATTGCTGTGCACTGAGGTCATCACCTGACACTCTGGAGCTTTGCTTAAAGGTGGAGGCTTAATGGGAAGGGAAAGAGCTCAGTGGTGTTGTAGTCACTGTGAGCCAGCCCTGCAGCCGTCCTGGAGATGCCAAACCACCCACCTCTAAGCGGTCTGGGTGGCTCTCGTATCTGGCGGGGAGTTTCAGGATTGTGTGACTCTGACTGGAAAGAACTAATCGCAGGGTTCTTCAGCGTGGAGCTTGGCCTTGTTTGCGCCATGGCAAAGGCTTTCCACGATTATGTGAGGGAAACGGGCAGGGAGGAGCTTTCTTTAGCTACCCCCTGAGGGACCAAAGAGAAATAATTGGCCTCAAAGAGGCAGCTTCTTGCTGAAAGTTACATGCAATGATTTCTAAAAGTGCAGGGGAAATCATCTGGTGAGAGCTGAATATTAATAAAGTGATAGGCTGTATCTAATTTCTCTGGTTGAAAAGAAAACCGGGAACCCACCAGGTAAGGAGTCATTCTGTATTCACAGAATTCCTGTCTTCTCTATGTGAGTCTGAAATTGCAGAAGGACCTTACGTCAACTGCCAGCTATAGAAGTTCTTACCTTTGGAATCTCCTATGACGTTCTGATGGGCAGCACTTTCTTCTTGGTGCTCTGATACAACTTCCCATCCCTCGAGACCAAGCTTAACATATCTGTCCGTCCCTTTCCAAGACTGGTGGCTTTAGGATCTTTTCTTAAAGGAGACATCCTGCTGGCAGTCACTCATGGGTGCCCAGAGCATGCATAGTGGCAGCTGTGTGCCTGGCTGTGGGGTGTGCATCTCCCTGGGGTGGGGTGGCCGGTGCGCTGGCCCACGCCCTGCGCCTGTCTCCTCAGGTGGCGACAGCTCTGTGAACTCCATGGCCCTGCGCATCGTGATGGGCAGCTGGTGGCTCTTCACCCTCATCGTGTGCTCCTCCTACACCGCCAATCTTGCTGCCTTCCTCACAGTGTCCCGGATGGACAACCCCATCAGGTGAGACCCTCTGCGTCCCCATCTGGGACCGCGAGCTCCGAAAGGCTTTACAGAGAAGGTAACACTGTGGGCGAGGGCTGGACATGACAGGACAGATCGGATTCCGGGCTGCAACGGGATGTGCGGCGTATGTAGTGCCAGCAAAGAACTCCATCCTGTTGTATTTTATCTCATGCACAATGACATAAATGTATAAGTGCATGAGATAATATTAATCTGAGCATTTAAATAGGTCTTACAAAACTAATACATCAAAACATTACACTCAGAAAATTGAATTTCCTCAGACATTTAAACACTGATTTGCAAACTCATTTAATCAAAAGTTTTATCAACATTTAGTTAAGATTAATTGAAACACAAGCCTAATGTATTTTTCAAATATTCAGACATCTTAAAATTATCTTTTAAAAATAAGCCAATTATCATAAGCAGAAAAATTATTTTCACTTACGTCTATAAAATTGGAGCATTATTGTAAGGATTAAGGTTTTGTCTTCATTGAAATGCCTTATTTTATGAGAAGAGTCCCAAATATAGGGACATTTCCAGGAGACTTGAGGTGGATGTGTGTTGGGTGTGTCCTTGCTAAGCCGAGTCAGCGTGAGTCTGTTCCACACTTGCTTGGGTGCAGCCCTGGCTTCCGTGGGGCTCTCAGCCGAGCCTGGAGGGCTTCTCAGAGTTGCTGCGTGTGTATCACCTACTGTCACTGTGCTGGTCCTTTTGATCCACAGCTCTGTCAAGTCATCCTTACTTAATCACCTTCTCTGGCTCCCACCTGCTTACTGAAGAGTTCAGATTCCTCACCTTGGATCCAAGGTTCAATGTGTGATTATTTGGTGGCTTCATCAAACTGACGTTTTAACTGAGATGATTATGGTTTCACAACACGTTGTCCAAAGTAAGGCAGAGCGGTCCACCGGGATCCTTCACTTAGTTATCCCCAGTGCAACACTTTGCAAAATGATGTGTTTTATTACGAGAAGGCCATTGACATGGGTGCCATTAACTGTTTCATTTAGGGGTCCCCCCTCGTACTCGGGCTCCTGTGTACAGGGGTGTGGTGTGTGTGTGTTCCATTCTGCGTAGATTTCTGGGTCTATCCCTGCAGTAGACATGCAGCAGCTCCTTCGCCAGGTCCCCTTCTGCTGTCCTTTCACAGACACACCCTCCTCCTCCACAGTCCCTCCTCTCCCATCTGGCCCCTAATCCCTGGCAACCACTAATTTCCCTCTGTTTCTAAAATTGTATCATTTCAAACACGTTGTATGAGTAAAACAAGCAATACCGTTTGGCTGTGGGTTTTTGGAAACTCAGTGTGCCTCCTCGGAAGGTCACCGGGCCAGGGTGTGTCCACTGCTCATCTCCTTTATTGATGAGTGATATCCTAGGTCCCCCAGCGAGTTTAACCATTCACCCCTGGAGGACAGTGGGTTCTTCCGGTTCTTGGCAGTTTTGAATGAAGCTTTTGTTGTTACCCAGTTTTGAGCCAAATCCTGCCCCTTTAGCTCTCTAGAGCATAGCCGATAACTACATTCGAGGTGGCCGGAGCAGAGGGAGGACTTCACAGCAGCCAGTGAGGAACGGAAAGGCGGGGAGCCCAGTCCTCAGATTTGCACCCCCAGCAGAGTATAGAAACGAGGTTCCATGCACTTGGGAGACTAGAAGGGGCCTCGGGATAACTAGAGGGAGGGACACCCCTGACTTTCCCAAGAAATTGCCACCTGGTCCCCACTCACTTTCCTCTATCAATCATTTGTGTGGTCAGTTTCACGGGTCATCACGGAGACACTGAACTGAGAGGCTGGTCTGGAATTTACAGTGAAAATACCTGACAGTGTGGCTGGAGGTCCAGCTGAGGCCAGGGTGGTTTCTCAGCTGGTTCAGGCCAGCTCAGTTAGCTGGAGTCTAAGATCCAAGTTTCCAACCCGGTGGTCCTAAGACCTGGTGGCCTCCTGTCTTTCATGGAAGCACATCATTGGTGTAGTCAGACACCTCTCCGTAGGTGCTGATCGTACAGTCTGACCAGGCCTCAGGGAGGGGGACAAAGAGAAACAGAAGGGGAGCAAACCGCAGGGCAAAGCACTCACTGCAGCAGGGCCGGGCTGACGGCAGCCTGTCCTGTGCACCTTGGGTGTGTGTGGTTCCAGATGTTTGTTCTCCCCCAGGATTTTGAAGCTTCTTTCTATTAGTATCGCTAAAGTTTTGTTAATTGTTTATCTTTTCAAAAAACCAGCTTTGAGTCTTGATTTTTTAAATTATCTTTCTAGTCTCCCTCTCACTTATTTTCTATTTTTATTTATTTTTTATCCGTACCGGGGATCCAACTCACGACCGTGTGCTTGCAAGGCAGGCGCTTATGCTGCTGAACTAAATCCCCAGCCCCTCTCTCTCATTTATTTCTGTCCTAATTTTTATTTCCTTTCTGCTAACTTTGGATTCTTTGTTCTTCCCACACTCCTGGCTCCTCACATCATAAAGTTAGCTTTTCTATTGGAGATCTTCCATTGTTTTTAATGTAGTTTTTTAATGAATATTAATTTCTTTCTTAGAAGAGCTGTTGCTGTATGTCATAAATTTGGTGAGGTTTCATTTGTCTTAAAATATTTTCTAGATGTTTCTTTTGACTTCTTGTTTAGCTGTTTAGGGATGTGGTGTTTAATCTCCATATTTTTCAAATTTCCTAAATCTGTTGTTACTGCTTTCTGGTTTGACAGCATTGTTGTTCCCAAAGATACTTGGTGTGATTTCAACCTTGTTAAATTTGTTACACTTGTTTTGTGGTCTAACAAGTTATTGGTGCTGGAGAATATTCCATGGGGGCTTGAAAAGAATGTGGACTTTGGTGCTGTTGGATGGAATGTTCTGTATTTGTCTGTTATTCTAGTATTTTTCTACGGCTTTTTAATTTTCTGAGGGATGATCTTTCTGTTGTTCAAAGTGGGCTGATGAAGTCCTTTCCTCTTGGTATGTTGCTATTTACCCCTTCAATTATGTTGCTCAGGTGTGAAAATATTTGACACACAGTTATATCTGCTTAATAAATCGACCCAGTTATCATTGTGTAGTGACTTTCCTTGTATCTTGTGACAGTTTTTGACACAGAGTCTATTTTACCTGGTAAAAATATAGCCAATTTGTTCTCTACTGTTCACATGGTATGCCCTTTTCCACTAATTTTCATTCACTGAATGTGCTTTTGAATCCACAGTGAATGTGTACATAAGGTAGTTGGAGTATGCTTTGTAAAATTCTGCTAAACTTTTTAATTTTAAATAGAAAGTTTAATCCATTGTCATTTAGTGTAATTAGTAAGCAAGTTCTTCTGTTTTCCTATTTTATTTCCCCACGTGTTCCTTCTTTTGTTCCTCATTTCTCTGTTACTCCTTTTGTGTTAAGAGAGGTGTTTCTTATTTACCATTTTAATTCTCTTGTTGACTCATGGTTCCTGATGCATGTTATATTTTTTGCATATTTGTATATATGTGAATGCCATATTCTTAGTGATTACCCTGTGCATCATAATTAGCACCTTACTTTATAGCAATTCACTTTAGATTAGTACTGTTTTTAGTAATATGTATGGACTATGCTCCTGTGTACATTGTGACACCCTCTCTTTCCTCTGTTGAAACTGTTGGGTGAGAGTCTGTTGTTATCTTTTTATTTTGCCTTTGTATATGTTGCGTTTGACATTTTCCCTGTGCTCACCTTGAGGTCTGGGTATCAGATTCCTTTCCACTTTCTCCTACTGGATCTGACCATCAGATTACCTTACAGTTGACTACACAGTTTAAAAATCAGGCTTTGGCATCGGTTGTAGTTAGGTGTTGTACACAGAGAACAATTAGAATCAGGACATGGAGTTTATATATTATTTTTATAATGGTCACTGGGGGTTAACACAAGAAATGGAGGACATCTGTCCACAACACCAAAGACATTTAGAATAACTTAGTCAGGGGCCTAAATCCCACAGCAATGTCCCACCTGAGTCCAGATAAAAACCCAGAGCTCAGGACAGTGCCTCCCACGAGTCCAGCTGGAGGTCCAGAGCCCACAAGGACTCACACCAGTCTCTTTTACGGATCCGCTCCGGGAAGGCCCAAAGGTCAGCGGTGAAAGCCAGAATCCATGCCAGCGGGGTGAAGGAGCTGTGCTGGTGGGATGAGGGTTCTACACTGGAGCCGGGAAGTCACACTCACAACAAAGACCAGGGTTGTCCTGACAGGCACCATAGTCATCCTCAGCGACACGGAGGCCCCGAGCTCCTCCTATGACAAGCACAGTCGGGTACGTGCCAGGAAGCAGCGTGACGAGTTCATCCTGGAGACCAAGCAGCACATGTCTTCCCCTCTGGAGCCAGGAAGCAATGCTCGATGTGAGGACCAGAGCTTCTCCAGGAGAACCAGCAGCTCAAACAGCAACTCATAGAGAGCCCACAATGCCTCAATGCAACAGCACTTTAATGCCTTTATGCCTTAACAAGCTCCTTCTCCTTCTCCACGTCTGTATTTATGCAGGCAACTTTCCTCAGGTGGAGCATCTTCGCTCAGCGCCATGCGGATGTAATCCAGCTGGCGTTAAGTTGACCACCAGTTCTTAATCCATAACAGTGTCCAAATTAGGGCTCCATCAATTGAGAATTAGCCCCTCGTGTCTTATTTTTCTCACTGAGGTCTGGTAGCTGCGTGCCCGACAGAGGGCTAGGGAAGGACTGTGAGGGGTGGGCGTGTCAGGAACACCGTGCAACACGAGGTGCTGGGCACACCCAAGGGGGGCCTGCTGAGGTGCTCTCCAGGGCACTTTGCAGCTTACTCTTCATTTCAGTGCTCTGTCCTCTTCGATTCTCATTTCTGTCCCATCTTCTGTTTATTATTTTACCTTCATTCCTTTTGAGGAATGGTTAACACACCAGAAATGGGCTTTTCTCTTTCTTCTGTCATAGTTTGCTTTATGCACTTTTGTGACCTGTAACTTCATGAGGAGTTTGTCCTTTA